AGGCTTGTTGTGAGACACCATCTCCTTCCCTTTCCTTCTGCCAAAACTCCTGGAAGATTTCTTCTAGGACTGACTGCAAAGTCCCAGTGTGTGAGGGCGTTTCCTGCGCTTAAAGCAGAAGGGGAAGTCTGTGCACATGGGTATTCATCTCACCCTGCCTCCGTGACAGCTTTGATGTAATTGTGTAAGTGCTCCAGCTATTGAACCTTAAAACAACAAACAGCCCGACACAGAAGCTGTAGCTTCTCCAGCCCCAATTTCTTTGCAGTGGTATGGATGAAAGGGGACAGGACTGCATGCAAGGCAGAGGGATGTTCTGAGAGCCCAGGCTCTCATGTGAGCCCTGTTTTCTGACTGCTGTTGGAAACCAAGCATGAGGCATGTGCTTTGGGTATGCAGGCAGTGTTGAAGTGTTCTATTCTCTGTTCTTCTGAAGGCATGACTGCTGAATGCTGTGCTGAGAGATGTCACAAGCAAAGATTAGTCAAAGGAGGCTTGACAGAGAAGCACTTGAGGCTGTGATGTAAAGTCTATCTCCAGTCAACCGCACTTGCAGTGGTTTGTGTTGGAAGGCCTTCAGCAAGGAGGAAGAGTGAGAAGGGATTTAGGGTAAGAGAACATGAGCACTGAGGCTGCCCCAGTGAGTTCTTGGTTGGAGCAGCTCTGGGATATATGATGGAGTAAGTGGGTCAGTGATGAAGCAAGGCAAGATGTAGGAACAGCTTGGGTTTGGCTCTCATGCTCTTGTTGTAAAGCATGAGCAATATATCCTCAAGGTGCCTGGCAGACTGAAGAGAGAGAAGCAACACCACAGAGCTGGGGTCAGGTCCTGCTCATCCACTGCTGGCTGTTTGTCCCAATGGGGCCCAGATCCTGACGGCATGAAAATGATAAACATCATCAGGCTGATACTGTGCAAATGTACTGTCCTGGGAGCTCTGAGCGGGAGGAGGTAGCGTGACAGGCTGGATTAGAGTATCTCATCCCTATGCTCTTGCAGCAGATTCTTGATACATGAATGGGGAGCCTTGGGCCACTTATCACAGCCACTGCAGTGGGGACTGCACGAAGGCAAGTGGTCTAGGTGGGATTTTTTTCCTGCATGCCAACCTTCCTCTCTGTTAGGCAGCCAAGTAGGCTTACAGCTGACACTGTCTGGCTGCCAGCATGGAGTAACCAATCACTGCTACAACTACTCACTTTTCTTGCTGTCAGCGTCTCTCCTAGATCTCGGATTTGTCACGGGTATCTGGCATTTCACGGGTATTTTCTAAAGGCCAGAGAAGTGTGCTTTGCAGCATGCATGGGTCTGATCACTGGCATGAGCTTTGAGTGAGACTGTGCCTGTGTGTGTTCTGGAATAAAACAGTGGCAGCGAAGAACATCTTGCTGACATAGAAGTGACTGCTTCAGGTGAGCTGGCTAATGCTGAAAGGAAACAGGCCTTTCTGGTAGAACTCTGGGAAAGGGTGAAGGTTTGTTCCTGCCTGTCCCTGCAACTGCCCAGGTGTAGCACATTTCTTTTAAATGATGTGGGCAGCGTGACTCGCTCAGCCCATCTGCCTGGGGGTGTTTACAAACCAACTTATGGCAGCAGCCAAACTGACCATGGTAGTTTCATGACAGGATCTTGGTTTGTGCCTCAACCTTAACTTGCTGGGCAGCACATTTTACCAAGCTGTGGAGACCAATTTCTGTGCCAAAACACCAGGAGAGTTGTCATGGGACAGATACAACTTTCTGCACCATTTGTGCCATTGCAAAGAGAGGCAGCAAAGGAGCATCTTCTCAAGCATTTGCTCTCTGTAGGTGGTTTTCACTATGCTTGGCAGGTGCCTCTCTACTATCGACTGATCTGGGATTTAGATGCATCTAAACATCAGGCCTTGATCATCAAGTACCCAGCATTAAAGTGCCCTTAAAAATAGGGCTCATGCTCTTAAATCAGATTAATAATTAGTCATGCAGATTTGTCTGCTGAAAAATGAAGCTGTTCTTCACATGCTTGACTGTCATAGTCTTTAGCCTTAAGAAAAAGTAGTTGGAGTTTTGGTTAAAACCTTATTGCTTCTGTGGAAGTTAACATTAAAATTTAAGTCCATGTTGAGACTAAGATAAGCTTCGTGGTTGTGTGTGTGCTATTGCAGGCAACCTTTCAGAGAGGGCAGGCAGAACTGAGCTTTCCAGTAAAAATTGTGACATGCTCACAGAGGAATGTGCAAAATACAGTCTGTACATAGGGGCAGAACAAGTACTGCAGACACAAGGTGCTACATTTAAACTACACTTAAACTTACCAACTAAGCCAAGCAAACACCTCCCCATGCCAACCACCTTTTGTATCAATCAGTCCAGTACCTCATTGGATCTCGTCTTTCCCATCCTGATGTGGCCCTGAAGACTTTTATTGCTAATCTCCTACAGTTTGAATAATTTCTGAATAGAAATGTGAGGTTTCTGAAGCCTCTAAGAGATTCTGGGCCTGGAGGGTTGTATCCAAGTAGCGTGTCTCAATGCTAGTTTTTTATAGCATACATTACAGTGCATATTGTAATGGCATTTGCACTGGCTTCTATTCAGTAGTGATATGAGGTGTGATTTAGATAGTTATAGCTAGTTCAGTATTGTGATGAATTTGTGCAGCAAAGATGACCGGTTTGCAATGAGAAGGGGATAAGAAGAGTATAGTAAAGCAGCAGGATATCTTTTAGCTGAGAGGGGGATGACTAGTAAAGATGCATAGGTGATCTGTCCACTTGGTGTGTGATATGTCTTACTGAGAAATTGTAAAAAAAGTCTTTCTTCTGGGGAGCAGCATGTATGTCAGCAGGAAATGGGAGTGGGGCTGGAAGAGATTTGGTTGGGGCTGGGTACAGGGTAAGGTGAGCTTTATCCCAGAGACAGCCTAGAGAGGGTGGTAAAGCCATGAAGAAAAGGAAGGTGACTGAAGAGCCATGGCAAGGGTTTTGCCTGCAAATCAGACATCTGTTTTACCCTACAGCAATCTCCTCTGTGTGAGAGATCACCATCTAAGTATTTCTGAAGTGGGAAGATGGAAATAGAATAAAGGCTCAAGCAGACAGACCAATCTTATTGCACTCCTCTGATTTAATATCTATTGGCTATTAGCCCTGTCTTTAAAGTGCATAATGGTGCACTGATTTTGTGACTTGTTTTTCAGAGATAGTGCTTTCAGTACAGTTATCAGTACTGCAGTTTGGAAGTCAGCCTGGGGTTGGAAACCTGGGAATTGTTGGGAGCTGGAGCCCTGTGGTGTACATGCTTGATGGGGTGCAATTCTGCTTTCAAAATATGACAGCTCACGTAATTGAAGACGCTTCCTTGCAGACTTAGCTTTGAATTGCAAATGCCATCACATTTCTTCTGGTTTGGAAGATGCATCTTCCTTACTTAAAAGTTGCTCTGCCAGTTCAGGTTTAAATGTAGGTGTGACGTGAGGGGAGATACTCAAACCAAATGTGAATTCAGACTGCAGACTATGGGAGCAAACTGGAATTGCTGGCACTACAAGTATCTCTCATGGGGAAGTGTGTGTATTCCTTGCCAAGCCCTCCCCTCTGTTTTCACTATATGAAATGACATGCTGTTTTCTGAAAGTGAGAAGAGAAGCAGAACAGGGAAGGAGAAGAGGGAAGCTCCATTTGTAGGGCTTCATGCCCCGTGATGGGGCAGCCTGTTATGCTATTCCTGCACAGGCTGAGCAGTACTTAAAAGTGTGATTTCTATTCTGTTTTTCCTGGATTGGCCGGCAATAGTCACTAGACAGAAGGAGACATTTTCTGATGTTCTTTAACAGTAGAGGAATTTATTGAAAGTGCATTTAAAAATAGAGGAGTCGAAGGACCATCTGTCTTGAGTGTTTTAGTGGAAATGGGGACAGCTTGCAATGGCTGCTTGACTGATGGGTCCAGAGAGTTTTGTGTGGACCTATGGCTGCAGCCCACTTACAGCTGGCCTGCCTCTGTAGAGAAAGTCACTGATCAAGCTGGTTGTGACCTGGTGCCTCTGCTTTGGGTAGGTCTGTTTGGCACCCATGCAGGCAAACTCAGAAGAATTGAGCCCTTGCTGGTCATCCCATATTGCCTTTGAGAGCTGACCCTCCTCCCAGAGGTGGATCAGCTCTCAAAGGCAATACCTATCAGAAACATCTATCAAGAGGTGTTTCTGGTGCTTTTGGGTGTCTAAGCTGTAGGTGGACTACTCTGAGGAGATGGCATGTTGATGACTGGGAGATCTGCCTTGCTGGGACCAGTCATGTGTGGAATGGAGCCAGGAGGAAATTGATTTGCTCTGAGCAAGCTGTTGGGAGTGTTTCCCAGGACTGGGCACATCTCAGCAACTGCCTTTCTCCTTTCACTGTGCTGACCTGTGTCTTGCCTTGAACTACATTCTGCAAGGGTGCCAGCAGTGAGGAGCTGCCAACTTGGCACTTGAACAGTGGAGCTGACACAAGTCATTTCACAGAGGGATACCAAGCGTTGTGAGAGTCCCCCACTGCTAGTGACTGAATACAGAGCTCGTATTGCCTCCATTATGGAAGAGCTGACAGCTGGGAGCTGGGATTTGCATGCTCAGCAGAGTATAGCATAGCTAAGGGTCCTGACAGGATGCAGCACCAGTCCCGTACCACTTGTGGCAAATGCACCCAGGGAGAGAGGCATTAGGGAATCTTCCATCTAGATGCTTTAAATCCCTAAGGAGCTCTTGAGGCTGTGTGCAGTGATTCAAAGCAGAGACTAGAAAGATGGGAGATGTTACGTGTGTGGGGAGCAGCCTGTCTTCAAGCTGTACTCAGGACACTCACCACGGTTACCTGTATGGGACCTGCTCATATTGCAGGACCAGTAAGCCCTCTTGCAGTGCTCACCTGCATCACTCATGGATGTTTACCTGGTGAGGGGGTGAGGAAGGGCATACTAAATGCAAAAATTGCTGTGCACATATGCTTAAAAATTTTCACTCTTTTCCTTTATTCACAGGAGAACTGCTGAGTCAGCCGAGACCAGAGGGACTGACGGAGATCATCTGTCCCAAGAACGGCAGCGAGCGAGTTAATGTTGCCTTGGTTTACCCCCCCACTCCTACTGTGATCAGCCCTTGTTCCAAGTGAGACCAGAAAGCAGACCTATTCCCCTGTCAGTAGACACCAGAAAGCCTACGTAAAACGTGCCCTCACTAAGCACTTCTTTCTGGAAGATAGCAGCCCCACAGCCTGGGGACTGTTCTAATTATTTGTGGCTATTGGCAGCCCACTCAGAGAATAAGAAGTACAGTGAAATGGGCTGAGGTGTTCTCTGAGCTGTGCTGTGGCAGATGCGAGATCAGGAGATAATGCAGTCATAGGCGGGTTTTGGTAGGATGGGACCTCAAGAGATTCCTGTACACCCCCTTCTCAAGCAGGACTACTCACATAGGCAGGTCAGGTTCCTTGGGATCTTGTATAGGTGAGAGTGTCATCCTTGGATGACAAGGATGGAGGTGCCACCATCTCTCCAGACTTTATTCTGGGACAGAACTTTCTTCCTTTTGTTCCATCTGAGTATTTTTTTTTTAATTTTATATTTTATTTTATTTTATTTTATTTTATTTTATTTTATTTTATTTTATTTTATTTTATTTTATTTTATTTTATTTTATTTTATTTTATTTTATTTTATTTTATTTTATTTTATTTTATTTTATTTTATTTTATTTTATTTTGCTTTATTTTATTTTGCTTTATTTTGTTTTGTTTTATTTGCTTTCATTGCCATAAGATGCATTGCTGGCTTGTGTTCAACATGTTCTCCACCAGATCCCAAGCCAGCAGGACTCCAGGCTATGGTGGTGCATGGGGTTGTCTGACGGAATCTGTGGTATTTAAATGATCCCAAGATTGTAGAAAGTCTCTGTCCTTCAGCCTCGCTGCCAAAGAAGAAGCCATAATTCATCTGTGCTGTTTTCAAGGTTGTTTATTCTTGCTTATTTGTAACATGTTCTGCTGCCCTGCCGCAGGTCTGTCCTGCAGGGCAGCGTGTGGGGCTCTGCCCCTCAGTGGGATGTTACAAACATTATAAACCAGAAACTACGTGTGCTATATTTACAATAATGTGCCAATATCTATCATCTACGTTGAACAGTGTGTCCCCAACCTAAACCAATAGAAAAATGCCAACATTACAGTAAAACATGGAAGACATGAAGAAGAAAAAGGACAGGAGACACCCAATTTCCTCCATCTTGCCTCCTTTGAACACCTTATCTAGAATCCTAAAATTCTACTTTTGCACCTGTACCACACTAATTATTGCTTATATCAAACACTCAGAGCTTGTAATTCATCCTGTAAGATTGAAAACTCTTTTCCATGGACAGAGATCAGAGACAGTGTCTCTCGAGGCTCTGTACAGGGGGGTTCCTGACCCCCTGCCAGGGTCCCAGACCTTCCAGGGCAGCCAGAGGGATGCCCTGGATTCCCACAGTTGTCCTGTTTTAGCAGTAGAGTTATACACTTGTCCTTGTTGAATTTTACAGCACTGTTGTTGGTTCAGTCCTCCAACTTGGTGAGGTCCCCCTGGGCAGGAGACCTACCCTCTTGTGTATATCTATGTATAGCCTATATGTACTTCACAGAGTGGAATGGAAAACAGAGCTGTATTGTGATGGGAAAAAATGTGGCACAACACTCATGAAAGTAGCCAATCCCTTGGCTTTTTGATGCATGGGTTGTCCAGAAAAACAGAAATTCAGCTGTGGTCTGTCTAATTGGAGTGGCACAAGGGAGTTTGGTAGGGAGCTTATAGGAGCAGCTGAGTGTCTTGCTGGTGTCTGCTGCTGTGCTGTATGTGAATGCCTGTTACTTTCACTTCAGTGTCTTGACAGTAGCTTTAGATGCTGTTCTCTCTGTTCAGTACCCTCCCATTCCAAAATACCACTCCTGGTAGAGAATAGCTCCAGTGACGGGTGGTTATTGAGCTGTGTGTGAAGGTGACATTGAAGTGCCACCTGGGGCAGAAAACAAAGATTCCCTGATACTGAGCCACACGTCATTACTGCCTGTTCATTTGGTTCTCCTGTGTGTGTGTACTTGGCACAGCACATTTCTAATGTGCAAGTGCCATTTTTATTGTACTGTGCTGTCAGGTTATGCCTCCTTGTCCTCTAGCCTGCTTTCCACAATGTCTGTTAACTGTGTCCCAGTTTCACAGTCACTCTCCTGGCAGGAAACTTGTGTTCTCAGAAAGGTCTGTGTTACTTTTACCTCACTTCACGCTCCCTATTTAGAAGCCTAGAGAAAATCATGTGTCTTGGGTTATTCATCACAAGCACTATGAACCCTGCTATATTACTTTTTCTTTATCCTTTTCTCTTCCAGATAAACCGTCAGTGCTGGTGCCAAAGGTTTTCCATCGGGCAGAACATGGTTGATGCTCTGCAGTGCTCCCATCTGTCCAGTTGTGGAGTTGATGCTGACGGGGATCAATGGGACTTTGGACTTTGGACCCTGAAAGAAATGCTGTGGGGCAGGGGCAGCTCCCAGGTGGGGGCCTCATGGCTGGAGTGGATGAAGTCATCATCTGGAGGTTGGGGATGACAAGGCATGAAGGAAAATGCTTGCTGCAGATGGCAGGGCCGCTGGCCGGAGGGAAAACACTGGGGATAGGTTTCTGTGGACCCATTGATCGTGTGTTGAAAACCCATTTGGATCTCATGATGAATGTAAAAATGTTCTTGGTATACCATTTAATTCAGACCTGCTTGGAGGAAAGTCTCTTGAAATGAGCTGTAGCGGTATTCCCTGGATTTGTTCCTGGACAAGTGAGTTTTGTGGCAGTTGGCCAAAGCTTTGCTGGGGAGTGGGTTGGTACTGTGAAGCCTTTAAAATTGCTCCACCACAAAAAAATCGGCTGTGTCCCATTCAGCAATCTTGAGTGCAGACTGGCAGAGAAGCAGTCTGGGAAATGTTTCCTGCGCTGTGTGTTCACATATGTTGTGCCATGAAGTGGTGAGGATGTGCAGTGATCATGCAGGGACAAAAGCAGGGCAGTCAGTGTGCCTCTGGCACATGCTATTTATTATCCCTAGTGTTACCGATATCTCTGAACAGCTGCTGGTCTGCCATGTCTGGGTGCTCTGGTACTGCCATTGTGGTACTCTGTGCATTGTGTCCACTGGAGCACTAAAAATCTAGATCTTGGTCGTCCTCCATGGAAAGCCACAGGCATCTTTGTGCAGAGATCTGGTGAAGCAGTGTGTGGCTGTGTGATCCCAATCCCCTTGGGCTCACCTTGGCACCTATGCTTCATGAGCAGCCATCTTCCCTCTCCAGATGTGGGAAAGGGCAGGCTGAGCACTGGTACCAAAGTTCTGGTTTCTCCCTCAGCTGTGTGGCTTTGAGGACTTCTAGGATGTTGCTGGTAGTTTGTGCCCTGCAGCTGAGCCCTGGTAACTGTGCTGAGTCCTGCTCCATGCAAATATTTATTTAATGTAAATCAATAGGAGGCGAGCATTTCCGGAGCCAGATCTCTTCATCAGATGGTGGGGGAGGTCTGAGAGATGAGGGATTTAAAACACTTGTGTTAATGTACAGCTCTTAATTTTTGGGCTGTGATGGCAGACCTGGGATGGGTGATACAGGTCAGCAGGCAGTGTCCACCAGGATGTGATCTGGCCAGGCCTGCAACCACTGCAAAAGAGTGATGTGTCCTGTTGGGACCTGCTGCAGTTGCACAGATTATATTCCCTGGTTTCTGATCCTTCAAATGCCAGCCTTATGTGCAAGGCTGTAAATCTTCCCATTGGCAAGAACTTAATGCTGGGACAGCAGGGCAGAATCCACTCCAGCAGGAGATCCAGAGGCCAGGTAGAAGAAATCAAGCCATATACCTTACTTTAGGGGGAAAAGCTGCCAAATAAAAGCTGGCGGCTCAGTCAGCTTCCTGTCTCTTCAGGGTATTGTTCCAGCTTGGGCGGGTAGCTTGGGCTCAGATTTCATGTGTTGACCTGCTATCTCTGGCAATGAACCTTCTTATGTCAGTGAGAATCATTAATTGATTGTGCTTCCATGTTGCTGTGGATAAACTGGAGACTCAAAATTGTCTGTGGTGGCTGGAGAAGGTGAAAGGGAGGTGAGATCTTTGAATGGTGCTCAGGAATAGTGCTAGGAAACTCCCTTGTCCCGAGTCTTGCTGCCCATGAGACATGCCTGGTGCAGGCAGAACTTGTGTTAGAGCATTCCCTACTGTCACCTCCCATGCTGGGCGGCCTTCTCCTCCTGTTGTGCTGCTACTCACCTCTCTTTCCGTTCTCCATAGGAAGAAACTAGCGATTTGTTGCTGTGAAGTTGCGTGGAAACCACATTGTAAAGAAACCACAAACTGGAATCCTTTTCCAGCCGGATGCCTGTTTCCCGTGTGCCCATCTGGTCTGGGATGTGTGAGCGTTGAAGGAGTGAGAGGACAGAGCAGACATCTTACAGCCTGCTCCTTGGGACCGCAGCCCTCCTGCCAGGGTGTGCCACCTCTGTGGGAGCATTCCCTGGCCTTTGCAGGCACGCAGGCTGCTGCTGCTGTGCACTGAAGCCGTAATGCCGGGAGTGTGGCAGTGTGGAGATCAATCTAGTTGGGTCTATTTAATACGACACAGTGATTGCTCATCCACCCACTGTTTAGTAACTGGTGTAACTGTTTTCATCCAAATTTTTTTAATATGCAAAAGCCATTTAATTTTCTATGCAGTTCAGAAACATCCTGCCTTTGCAGTTGCCAGGTGGGAGATCCATGCAGGAGAACCAAACCAAGCAGCTCATAGTACTTTTGATTTTGCTGTCACTGTCTTTTGAGGATGCACCCTTGGATCCTCATACAGTGTCCCTTTGCTGAGCTCCTGCCTCAGACCCCACATAATATCCCTCAGCCCCAGGGATGAGGGCCCTGTATTTTTGAAGGATCTGTCATTTTTCATGAATCAAGCCACAAGGAAAGAGGGCTTGAATGCATTGCCCTAAGAGCAGATATCTGAGTTCAGAGTATGTATTGTGTTCCAGTTCTTATCCCTGCTTAGCCCTGTATTTTTGAAGTATCTGTTATTTTTCATGAATCAAGCCACAAGGAAAGAGGGCTTGAATGCATTGCCCTAAGAGCAGATACCGAAGTTCAGAGTATGTATTGTGTTCCAGTTCTTATCCCTGCTCAGGGAGTTACCACACTGTTAGAAATAACTAAGGCCTCTGTGGACCACTGTGCAGCCTTTACTGAAGATGTATTATAAAGAGGTCAGAAAGGATTGGGGCATCAGCTGTCTACCTGTGGAGCTGACAATGAATTTAGCTTCTTTGGAATAGGAGGAGAATCTCCTGGCAATCTCCTAGATGCCTACTTCACCCATGATGATTGTACTGGTTTTGCTTATTGGTTTGCAATCCCTTGCTTGACCGGTTTTTGATTTCCTGCCGAAACTGGTTCAGACAGATTTGGAAGCAGAGCTAGTGAGCTGCTTTTGCGCTCCAGGACTTTCAGCAGCTGGAAGATGTCTGGAGTACCTTGTGTTACACTCTGAAGCAAAACCTGGGATTCAAAACTGCATCCGTCCAAGTCAAACTCCCAGGATAGCAGCCTTGCCTTCTTCTGGGTCTGTGTAATGTGAGGAATTGCATGTCCCTAAGCAACATACAAATAGGTAGAGATGAGAGAGAGTGAGCCCAAATGGTGATGCTGCACACCTAGGTCATTTTAGGGCTTACAGGAGTACTGGGAGACTTTTGGCAGCTGCAGAGGGTCCTGGGTGATGGGACACCTCTGTTTTAACTTTGCTATAAGCAAAAACGTCTGAAAAGTAAGATTGTTTCCAGTCTGCCACAAGGCCAGGATCCTTGGTCTAGTCTCCTTTCATGGCAGTGCTGTTCTTTCTGCATTGTCTCTGCTCTGAGCTTGGGGGATTCAGCTTTAGAAAATTAAACTGAAATAGAGGCTAGTTTGGGATTTACCCTGCCTTATAGTCTCTCAGATCAGATGAAAGAGACTAGGGGCTGCAGAAACATGGGTCATCTCCCTTGCAGCATCCCCCATGCCACAGTTTCATGATGGCTCTAAAAACTCAGTAGTGTATTTGGATGCTGCTTTCCCAGGAACTCCAGATGTGCTTGGTTGTACTGTAGCACTGGAACTTAAATGGGATCCCTGTTCTTTTTCCCATTGTACCTCTGAGGCAGCTAAAGTTTGTCCAAGCAGTTGAGGCTCCTCACTGTGAGGAGTGAGATACAGCTGTGTCAAAGGGAACTGCAGATGTTACTTAGGAGCTCACTAAGTGAGATGAAAATCCACTGGCTCACTCCTGCAGAGCCAGATCCTGGAGCTCAGTTCCTCTCATGCCCTTTGGATGGGATCTTGAGCTGTCATTCCTTGGAACAGCTGTGCCGGGAGGTGGAGATGCTGCACTGCAGTAAGCACAAGAAGAGGCAAGCAAGTGGGCCTCAGTGTAGCACTCATCACACGCTTCATGGCTCAGTTCATGGACTGTAACTGCAGGTATTCATATAATCTACGTCACTGGGCAGGACTCTGCACACACACACATGCATGCCCAGACATATGCGCACCACACCTCCACTTGCCCACACGTCCTCGCCAAAATGACTGAAAATAAAAGTGATCTCAATCTCCAGGAGAGTCCTGGCTGTGTGATTTGTTTTTCCTCTTGCAGTGCCTCCTTGGACTCTAGCTCTGGAATGGTCTGCACTAGCTGTAGATCTGTGCTGTAGCAAAGTCATGGGGAGATTTGCCATTGAGTGAATCTGAGCACGGAGCCCCTTATTTAGTATCTGTGAATCACTGCCCACTTTAGCAGGACAGGTGATTTCTGGGGAACAGCTTTTTTACTCACTACCTTTTAAGGTATTTTATGGGTTTGTGAGGCCCGCTCAGTGGCTCTCATTGGTATCATGTTGTTTGCATTTGTGAAAAACTTGGTTTCCTGCTCATGTTCAGAGCAGGTTTTGGAGGCAGAGTAGTAAGGCAGATGGTCCTCTGTTTGGCAACAGGAGCATTTGTGGCAACACCAGGAGGATGAATTAAAAATGGGAGTAAATCCCTTTCCACTGCTGCAGTTTGACCCTGTCTGGCAACTAAGCATCATCACAGCTGCTCACTCACCACCACCTCCTCGTAGGAAGGAAAATAGGAAAAAAGTAAAACCCATGGGTTAAAATCAGTTTAATAATAGAAGCAAAGTAAATATAATAATACTAATTATAGCAATTGCAATGAAAGAGAGAGGAATAAAACCCAAGAAAGATGAGTGATGCACAGTACAGTTGCTCACCACTCACTGACTGATGTCCAGCTCCTCCCCCAGTGATGGGGGATGAACATCAGCAGCTCCCAATCAACTCCTCCTCCTCCCCTCCATTTATATACTGGGCAAAATGTTCGATGGTATGGAATATCCCTTTGGCCAGTTCAGGTCAGCTGTCCTAGCCACGCTCCCTCCCAGCTTGTGCAGCTTCTCACTGGCAGAGCACGAGAAACTGAAAGGCTTTGACTTAGAGTGAATGCTACTGAGCAACAACTAAATCATCAGTGTATTATCCACAATATTCTCATACTAAATCCAAAAACAACCAGCACTGCAGCAGCTTCCAAGAAAGCTAATATGGCAGCCGAAAGCAGGACATGCACGTATAGCCCCAAGCCCTTGTGTGTGATCTCACTTCTGTCATCACTCAATGTGGAGGAGACAGACCTCTGTGGTACGCCCACCCGATGATGACAAATGCTACACAGCAGGTCTAGGGGAGGGGATGTCATCATCTGCAAGGAGATGCTGGTGTGCCACAGTGAGACGGGAGGTCCGACAGGGTGGGTGCTGGGGCCCAGCCACAGTAGGGCAGAGAGAAGGTTCTAGGCTGTAAAGTGACTGGCAGATGTGGGGGTAGGTGTGGTTGCTTTAGTTGGGTGCCAATACACATCGGCCTCCATCACTGAGGGATGCTGGACAGCATTTTAGGACTATGGGAAGCACCAGCAGGAAATAAACTGACCTGTGATGGACAGAGAGATTTCACTGTTTTGCTTTTGCCTCCTGGCCAAGAAGATCCAAAGAGCTTTACACTTCTCATGTTGCCCACCTCACCCTGCTTGTTGACTGTGGATTAAGGGATATGGGGAACAGCAGGCACGGCAAATTCCGTGGCAAGAAGGGGCTGGGGGTCAACTGCGTCCTTCTGGTGGCTGTGACCTGGCACCCAGCACGCCACGGGTGTCCCAGATCTGTGTTTCGGGTGCTGTGTGCAAAATCAGTGCCATGAGAAGGAGGACGGAGGCATAAATGAGGTGTCTGCCCAGTGTGTGTTTCCCGTAAAACGGAGAGAGGTTCCAGAGAGCTGCCGTGCCCCCAAGCCCCGGGGGAACTCCTGGACAGAAGCCCTTGGGGGCTGAGGCGGCGGTGCTGCTGCAGAGGGGCAGGGCCGGCGGGACAGCGGGGGCTGAGGCGGCCCGGGCACGCCTGGCACATCCAGCACAGCGCTCGCTGCCAGACGGGAGCGCCGGGAGCCCCGCCCGCACCCGCTCGGGTCCCACGGAGCCGCCCGAGCGCGGCGGCGGGGCCGGGGCCGCTGCTCCGCCCAGGGGCGGGCTCCGCGCTGTCCCGCCCCCGACGGGCCGCCGTCCCCGCCGCGCTTCCCGCCGACACCGCCATGGAGGAGCGGGAAGAGAGCCGCCCGCAGGCCGCCCGGGACGAGGCGGCGGCTGCTCCCGCAGCCCGCCCGCCGGTGAGTGCGCGGGGCGGCGCGGCCGGCGGTGGTGGCGGCCCGAGGCCGCGGCCCGCCCGCCCTGCCCCGGCGCTGCCGCCAATCGCCCTCCCGGGGCGCCGCCGGGGCCCGGCCCGCCCGCGGCCGCGCTCTGTGCGGGCCCGCGAAGGCCGCGAGCAGCGGTCGGGAGCCGGGAAGTGCCCGTAGTGTTTCCTCTTGTTAATTGCTTTGGTTTTCTTGCACGCATTGGGCACCGGCCTGCGTATCCCAGTCGCTGTGGATTCGGGTTATTTCAGTCGTCCGGGGAAATCTCGCTGCTCGTGAAGGCTTTGCCCGTTCGCACCAGAGAACTCTTTCTGTTGAGATTAGGATGCGTATTCAAGTTTTGTCTCCAAGAGCTGCTCTTCGACACGGCTCAATACACGGGCATCACTGCCCCTTTATTCTGTTGCTGTTGGGGAAAACATTGTTTCAGAGCAGGCTTCAGTATTGATTCCCTTACCTTTCTATAAGCTAGTTCGCTCAGTTTGATCACAAGTGTGACGGTGTGATGCTTTACTGCTTTCTGATGCCAAAATGAGCTGTGAAATGCGAGCATCTCGTTTTGAGCTTCTTAAATGACTTCCTGATTTCTGTTTCTTCTAGGGCAGACAACATTGTAAGATCAGTGATCAGGAAACTAATGGCAAAACCTCAGCTGCCAGTTCAAACGACTTCAGTGATCCGATTTACAAAGAAATTGCTATAACCAATGGTTATATCAACAGAATGACCAGAGAAGAGCTCAGAAGTAAACTCGCAGAGTTCAAGCTTGAAACCAGGTTATTTGTAAACATGTTGATTTATCTTTGAGAGCAGTAGAGTCATGAGGGATTATTATTTTAAAGTTTAAAAACTCAGCACAAAGTGAAAAGCAGACACAGCACCAAACGCTGATTGTTTTATGTTCGATCTTGTTGCAGTTTTTGTTGTAGGATTAATGCACACTGCTTAATTTGTGCTGCCTCAACTGGCAACCCAAAGAAATGCTTGAATACATAACTGTAAGGTACTTCTCATCACTTTTTGGTCAAGGGGGAAAGAAGAACTGCAGTGGTTCTCAGGTGGTGCTGCAGACCTTCATCATACAGCAACTTGCTTCAGAACATCCATATTTTTATTTAGTGTACCTGTACAGATCTGATACTTGCTACAAACTCTGGTTGTGGGGCTCAGGATTTAATCACTGCAGAGGAGAAGGACCTTTAGATGGAGAGTCTGCTACTCTGAATACCTGTGCTAGAAAAATGTGAAAAAATGATTGTATTATAAGCCATATTCGTCTTCACTGGGGCAGAGGCAAGGGAGTATAGTGTAGTTCCTGCTGTACTGGAAATTACCTGCAGGATTAATAATTCTGTGGCCAGGCAAGATACTGAGATATTGTGAAGAAAGTCTGCTGAGAAAAATTGTGTTGTTTCTGTAGGCAGCAGGTATGAAGAAGTAGTGGTGGAGAGTTGGTTGGATAAATTAATTTAATGCCTCACGAGGAGAAAATCTTATTGTTTCTTGAGAAAACTTTTGGTAATTTCTCTTACCAAAGCTAGGTTTCTTTTTTCAATATATTCAAGTAAGTCAAGTCAGAATATGTCTTATCTGTAAACAAATAGTGCATCAGTTCTAATGTAGAGAATTGAGCAGATTACCATATACCATCCTTTCCTTCGAGGTTATTGTGATAGTCAATCATTTCCTAATTTCAATTTTTTTTATAAATTTGGTGAAGAAAGAGGTAATTTCCCCCTTCATCAGCTCCCATACTGTCTCAACTTTTAATGAACTGGACATTGGCTTAAACTAGACCAATAAACCAGAATGAAGAAGAGTTATCTCTGCAGAAGCAGCTGATGTCCTCAAATGTGTGTTTAGCAGTTTGATTTCAGTTCTTCTTTGTGGATCACTGGGCTGCTTTTCTGATAATACCACTTGCTACATGTGTCTCTTGCAGCTTCTGTGATTTCATTTGCAATGAATAATTTTGAAAATAACTTCTTTGGAAGGGTAAATTATCCTCATTGATTCAGCTCTGGTTTGGTACATGGCAGTTCTGGCATATGCACTCATATATTAAAATGTCTATATTAAAAGGACACCGTAAGTAATTTCAATTGCTTGCCATGTGAATTTATTTATAGCCACAAACCTCCTGAAAAGCAGGATCTTGACCAGGAGGTTTTCTGACAACTGAAATCTCAAATACTTTTTTTAATTGAGTTATTCAAGCTCAACTTTAAATTTAAATTGGGAAAGATGTAAAATGCGGATGTTTAAGATGGATTCTGTGTTGTTTATGCCACTGATGCAGAAAGGCCTGGGGCATGAATCACTTCAGATAGAGGGCACAGGGGAATACAGGTGAAGCAGTACTTCTTCCAGGGCCACAGGTCAACCAGGAGTAATCTACAAAGACTTGAGCTTTGGAAAGGCTTTGGATACTGAGTCTTGCTGAAGCAGAGGTGACTGCAGAGTGTCTCTGTGCCATGCTTCCCAGTCTGTCTCTGGTATTGTACCATGGGGGGTATCACAGCCTCTGCATTATCCCAGAAAATGGGTTTAATGTAATGTAGATAATGGGGCCAACTTTCCTCTATGATAAAGTGGAATTCAGGCTTCACATGTGCTGGTGTTCAAAATGAGGGTAATAAGTGTTGAGCTTTCAAATGTTAAATATAGCTTCAGTTTTACAACAAGGAAATAATTAAACAAGAGTGTGATCTTTGTCACTTTCCCTATTTCTTTAGAGGAGTGAAAGATGTACTGAAAAAGAGATTGAAAAACTATTATAAGAAACAGAAGCTGATGCAGAAGGAACACATTAGTGGAGACAGCTGCTATGACTACATCTGTGTCGTTGACTTTGAAGCAACATGTGAAGAAG